AAACCATTTCACCTCTCTCTTTCTTTCTTTCTTTCTTTCATTAGGGCTATGGGAACGCCCGAAGGCCCCTGCAGGCTTCAATGCCCAGCCCTTGTTGGGCTGACCGGTCTAACCACAACCCCTCTACACTTCACAGAAGGTTGACTCAGAAACTGAGTCCCCCTAGCAGATTTAAGGTTGTTCACCTCTCTCTCTCTCTCCCTCCCTCATCTTACTCTCCCTGCAGCCGTGCTATCACATAGCCCCAGCATGTCAGACCAGCCACAAGGCACAGCCCACGGCTTCAGCACGTGTCTTGGTTGCACGAGTTGTGGAATGAGGGCATATATGTAAGCAAGAAGAGTGGAAGAAACATTGAGACCAGAACCAGCCTGAACCCCAAGCTGAAAAAACTCCGCAATGGCACCTACTGCCTGCACTTTACCCGCGTGCCTCCCTTGCATCTGACCGTCCAGCTGAAGACGCTGCAATCTGAAGCACCAATCATTACAAGATTCACTCACGAAGTCACCGGCTTCTGAAACCATGCCATATCCCTTCCTCAGTGTCAGGTATCTCAGATGCAGGGTGCTCCCAGGCATTGATGACAAGATGGAAACAGCAAATCTGTCAGTACATGCTGCAGCAGTAGCCCTTGGCTTCAAGCGTAGAAGTGAAGAAGAGTCAGTGCAGGGTGCATGATGGAAAGACTCTCCCTGACCCTGCGCGAACAAGATCAATAGCCAGTTAAAAGAGAGGCACCAAGGCAACGACACGCAATCGATTTCGGAACATATGCCTTGTAAGGGGGCCGGTGACTCGTCAACCTGCACATACCGCATAGCTTACTCCAGACTTGGAGATCCAAGTGTCGCCCGCGCGCAGGCGGTGGCAACTGGGATCCACAGCTTCCACCTTGCCTCAGAGTCCACGAACGTGAGCAGACATCAATCCCGCAGATGACCTCTTCAGCTGCGGCCTCTGCACTGATGCAGCATTGCTAAGCCATCTCTTCCAATTTAGATTCTCACTCTATGCCCGACCCCAGTAAGCCTAAGCACTTGTCTGCACCTCTCAGGTACTCACGTTCAACCCTCTGAGATTGAAGCGTGGTTGGCCTTGACCCAATCGCACGCTGATTGGTACGAGGCATCCGAGGCACCTCCAGGCTGCAGCTTGGGAGCTGGGATCAAGCTGTGCCACTTCGAGGGTTCTTGCGTTCAAGGCAAGTGAAACAAAGTGGAATCTGCCCACTCTTCGGAGTCTGTGCTACTCTAGCATACCGGCATAGCTGTTCTGCAACAAGTGACCTGCATACGCATCATGTGAATCCTCAAAACCTCATGCTGTCTGTCAGCTGAGAATAAAGCCTGCTGGATTGCCAGACATGACCGCATGTGGCAATAAACAAAGACCAGGCTTCTATGTCTCCAAGTCTAGCGGTCAGCACTGGCAAGCCTACGGCATGGGACCTCGGCTCTCATTTCTTCTGCGAGCTCTTAGCGACGTGGTGCAACTGTACGACATGAAATGAGCGTACCATGGTTGTACCAGGCATTGCCCTAAAACCGTTGAGGAGTTTTGCAAAGAGCAAAGCTCAGGTAAGCACAAACCAACAAGATCCCCGGCGCCTGCATTGTTATGTCGGACCACCTCCTCTAGCAGGGTGTCCACATCTGAGGTGTAGATCTGCCTGAGGACACGTGTCTTAGCCTCCCTCGCAGGTTCAGCATTAGGCGGGCTGCTACGCATGAAGGGATTTGGGAAGTCGTTAGACTGTGACGTGGGCCATTCAGGGCAAACTGTCGTGAATCCGTCGTTGCCTGCCTATATGCGAAATTTTCCCACAGCAGTGTACAAGCATGTACAAGCCATGTAAACGCCCTGCAAACAAGTTCAGATAAACCATAAACATGCAGGATGATGCGACATGTTCCTCGCCCAAGGTTTCGGGGACCGCAAGATTTCAGCTGTTCTTTCTGAGAGTGCCAAATCCAGGCCCCTCGCAGACTCTCAATGGCAAGTCATGAAAACAAGGCTATGAAACATCAACTCTAATTTCAAGACGAGGCACATGTCACGCAGCATAAGCATGACTGACGGCGCTGCATTTCCTGCGAGTGGCAGGAGTATGTAGGATTGTTCACAGCAATCCAGAACGTGCAGTCTGACAGCTCCGTAACTTAAATCTTCAGGAAAGAGGCCGTTGGCCATAGGTTACATTGATCGCACCAATCTCCAGCAACAGCAAGCGGTGACAGTCCCACAATCCTGCACCTTTCAGCAACTTAGAATCTCCATCGACCCACAACTTCAAGAAGAGAAGATATCATAGGATATTGTCTACGATTAGTCTAACCTCCTGCTGTGTCGCCCATGATGCCCTGCACAAACCTTGAACTAACTTACAGCCCAAAACATAATGGAAAATCCTATAGATGCTACACTAAAGGTGGGTGGTACCTGCATGAACAGCTGCGGTCCTAGCTGACTATTTGCGTAACTCAGCAATGGGACACCGCTCGCATCTGTCGTCTGCTTCCTTTGCTGCGGCAATGGAACATGGAAAACTCACCGCGTCCGCATTGGAGAGGATTTCGCATGAGCTTCAGCAGCGTGTGTCATTCTCTTGTTTGCAACATGGACTGCTTGAGCCATGCTGTGTTCGGTGATGAAATGTGCCTAGACATGATTATCTGTTAACGACACGGATGTCTGGTTGCATCACCTGTACGAGCCATTCACAATTTATGAAACACGACGTCAAAAAGCCCCAAACATGCTCACTGGTGCACTTCGGCACCAGTCTTTGTGATTCCTGCTTGAGAACCGCACTCACGGGAAAAATAGCTTCAGATTTCCAACCATAAGATATGACCAAGGCAGTATACAAACAAAGCTATGATTCGAACAATTCCACTTAAACCTGCGACTTCTGAAGTCTGTGGCCGCGCTGGAAGCACACGATGCACGCCAGAACGTGGACCCCATCAAAATGCATGCAAGACCGAAGTCACAAACCAAAACGCACAATTTCCGTCTGCCATCCACGACCGAAGCTCCCCACGGCGTACTCGTCTGCTCTATACGGTGGGAAGATGACCTACCAAAGTGCCAAAGTTATGAGTCTGTGTTCACTTCAAAGCCAAATGCCTGCATGAAACCTGGAGGCGACCATCAAACTCATGCACGTGAATCCAGGCCTTCACGGCGCCCTGTGCCTTGAAGGTGATGTCTGGTGACCACCTTAGTCGCAATTCGACTTAAAGGAAGGCTACAAGAATACAACCAAAATGCTTGATGTGAACAGGAGCAGTTGGGGCCGTGGAGTTTGCCAAGACGGTGAACAAATGCACAAGACCGGATCCGCTTCTGGTTTATGCATTTGTTCGCACGGCGGTTTGTCAATTCCATGTGCAGCCATCAAGTGCTTGTGGTACATTGTTGTAAATCAGAAACTTGCTAACAAAACATGTTTGAAAGGCTTTGGAAACGCCCTGGCCACATGCGGCCACCCAGCTTGTCTGCTAGGCCAGGCCTCGCTGCACTCGGAGCAACTATCCGTGCTAGATGTGAGAACAGCAAGGATGTGCCGCCAAAAAGGTTCTCGCGTGGGCCGGATCGAACGGCTAACAAACCAGCTGTCACCGTGCTTCCGACATCTAAGGCCCCGTATTTCACTGGATGCATGACACTGTCGCACAAAGGGAAGGGAGGCATTTGCCCTGAGCCTGCTGAAATCCCCTCCCGGCCCATCGCTCAAGCTGTCCTGTCTGAGCTTCTGTATGCGCTAGGCCAGTGAATTGTGGATCCTTCAGCACGGCGTCTACCTCTCCCCACGTGGCATCAACAAGCAAACATGCATTGCGGAACCTACGTCTCACACCGTACCTACTACCTACCTTCCTGCATTCGGACCCACCGCCTAACCGCTACAGTGCTGTCGTAGCACTTCCGACAACTTCTCAACTCAACCACTGAAAAAAAACAGGTTCTCTGTAATGCCTTCATGCTTTCCGGACTGGCGCCCGTACACTTTTCCAATGAACTCCAATCATTTAGATTCCTTCAACGTGCTTCGTGCTGATCTTGCTCAGAAGCAAGTACCCGACCCCAGCGTCCCACATGAAACAGAAGCGTCCCAAATCTCGTGCCACCCGCACATGATGGAATTTGGGTGTCAGTACATTGACTCCAAATCTGTCCATCCAAGACGACGCAGCCCAGCACACCGCAGAAGACCACTGCTAACACGTCACTCAATTTCTACCCCTCTGTCTCTATAGGCGCTGAACCATTGAAGTTTGTATCATCTATATACCATAGCGTTCACCTTGCGGACCGACCACGAAGAGTTAACAGTGCTGTTACAAGGGTTCGTTTGATTTGTTCGTGTGCTTTGGTCCGAACCGCCAGGGGATTCACGCCTCCTCCGTGCATCCTGTAGAGTAGTCTTTGTGAAGCCGTGCAGCACGGAGACAAGAATCCGGCGAGGCCAGAGAGGCTTGGGGCGTTTAGATCCAGGGTCGATGGAAGACGGGGCTGGGTGGGGGAGAGGCGGGGGCGGTGGGGGGGAGGGGCGGCTTAGGGTGGAAGAGGAGGGTGGACGGAGAGCTACAGTGCTGGTCGCGGCACCATGTAAAGATCAGGATGAAGCAACAATGACATTCGGAGGCCAGAGCATGCTCTCTCGCCTCGACCACACTCGCCGCGGCAGTATCGCGTTAGCGATTAAATTAACCATGGGATTTGGGTGGTTTCAACAATCCTTTGATGCACCAGCTGGCGTAGTTGACTCAAACAGACCAGCGCAGGACAAGTAGCCAGTATGCCAAGGTCTTGTATTGCATTGGCAAGGTCGTCCAGTCGCCGTAGGTCACCTTTGTTGCCCATAATACTCTCCTTCAACGCACAGGCTTTGGGTGCCGACTACTGCGGCTTCTACAGGGCACCTTTCGGCCAGTCCTCGTACCCTCAACTGCCACACGCTGAGAAGTTGCAAATTCGGAGTGCCAAGGAGCTGTATTGGCAATGGCCATGGCTATGTTGTACACGGTGGCTTTCTGGCGAGAAGGGTTGTAGGACCTCAATACATTCGGGTTCATGGGATAACATAGGAAGTAGACTCTGCGATTTCAGGTTTGTTGGGGTTTCCTTTTCTTGCGACTTTGCATCGCGCTGCGGCTGTCTCTTTCATGCTTTCATGAATGACCAGGATTTCACATGCCAAATCGCTGGGCCGTTTGACTCAGGCTTGAATCGCTTGGAAGTCTTCAACCAGCTCTCAACCTCGCCCAGATACCAGAACGAGTTCGTGATCATTGGGACACAAGACAACGGTGAATTTCTGCATGCTGGCGCCAACCACCATTTGTCCTCATGGGCACTTCCAGCAACATGAACAAAAATGCGCAAACCTGGACAGAAGGCGAGCCTGGTCGTGGCAGATCCACTTCCGAAGCCCGTTGACGTTCACAATGGCAGCATTGTCTTGTGTCACCGAGAGATAATTGTTTATGGTGGTCTCAGTGGCGATAGCTCCCGTATTGCAGTCGGTGAACGTATCCGGATTGAAATCACTTATCGAAGAGAAGTATGGCTTCCAGTCGCCCCATGAGGCATTCATGCCCTTGTAGAACTCAATGGACTTGCCCGTGTCCTCAGGATTTTGAGTCAAAGCGAACTTGTCACAAAAACAGTTCTAGGATCAATGGGGAAAAGCTGATGGGATAAAGACAACCGCTTCCCCCACGCTATGAGACATTTGTTTGCACTGGGAGTGATGCTCGTGGAAACTTGAATTTAAGACACGATCAGCCCGCGGGGTCCTGGTAGTACGGCTCATACGTCTTGGGGAAAATGTACATGCCATCTGTGCCAGCATAGTCCAGTGTCTTGACAAACTCAAGAGCCTTGTCCGGGTTGGCCTGGTTATAACCTGCAAACGCCGACGTTGAAAAAACATCTTTGGGCGTTGCCCCGATATTTGCTGCGCATGCACTACGCAAAGTTACATAGAAAACTTGGAGTGAGCTGAAAACAGATGGGTCGCCCAGGGCCCACTCCCCAAGTGCATAGTCCCAGAGCTCGCTAGCCACATGAACTGCTGGGTTCGTCGCACAGATCTCCTTAGCTGCTGGTCAACTCTTGCGAGACACGCCAGCAGACTTCAAACCCAAGTCCAAAGAGTCTCGTAAACGGAAGTGGAGGATGAGGCGAAAGGACCGAAGATCGTGTTGTAGCCCAGGATCTCCTGGAAAGGTCTTAGTACTCTTTGCCGGGGCGGAATGCACTCTGTTCTAGGCCTAGCCGCGGCCTGTTCACGGGACAGAGCCGGCAACAAACTCATTCAAAACTGTGAATTGAAGTTGAAGTCGGTCACGGACGGGTCACTAAGGGCCTCGGGTCTCTTTTGAACAAAACTCCATCCACCAATCATTTGAGCTCATCCCTGTCCAGACATGCACCTTAGCCAAAGAAATGCCGATATACACTCTCTATAAATTGGCTCTGAGGCGCCTCAATGAACAACTTGAAGGCTCCTTCCAACCGAGTCTAGATTCAGCTCTTCTTTGCTGGACGACGCGCCCACCATTTGTATGCATGCGTCTTCAAGCTTCTGCTGTTGTGCTCTGCGTATCCTTACTCTGGATCCATTTCCAGTAACTTGGGCAAATCACGGCCTCTACAAAGCACTCAGGCACGAAACTGTTTGCTGCTTTTCCTTGCCTTCAGAGAGTTGCCAGGTTGCTCTCCAAAAGAGCTTACAAGGATTTTTCTGGCTTGCTACGTGGTTGACCTTTGCTTGATTCCCCGACAAAAAAACAGTGAACGAACCTGTGGGTCTGAAAGATTTGCCTGAGAAGCACAACAGCAGTTTCCGCTCCTGTGTGAGGATACGCGCAATCCAACCTGAAATGTTTCAGAGTTGTACGGCTTCAGAAAGACTGCATGCTTGAGGGGCCGGGCGACTTTGGGACCTTAAGCTCAGAGCACAGCAGAGTATGCCACTCACACGCAACTTATCTTCGCAAGCACCTTTCTACAGTGAAGCAGTCTGCTCCTGGACAAGATGACTCTGCTAGCTGCTACTTCCTCCAACCTTGGAGAACGTGTGGAGACTAGATGATATCAAATTCAAACCTTAAAATGCATGATGCCGTACCGTGGGTATATATGTTTAGCCCCCAAAACTGAACAACTGCAAGTGCCAATTGGCGTTTTGCAAGCCTTCCAGCTAAGTCACTATACATGATGGCAGAGTCCCAGTTCGGGTTGTTGAAGCCAATCGGCAAGCTTGCACCATCCTCAGCACCGAAGCTCAAGGCTCTCTCCTCTGACTTTGTAAAAGTCACAGGCTCTTGATGTTTTGGATGGTTGGATGCTGGGGGAATTGCAGAAGCCATCGGGATAGAACAAGAGCAACACCTATTAAGGAAACCGATTCGTGCTTTGGGAGCACTTCACAGCATTTGAAGGTGTGACAGCCGGCTTTGGACCCAAAGGAAAGATCTTTGCCAATGCAATCATTGCTTGGTCTACAGATGAGAAGCAGCTGTTATGCGATCAGCATCATCTGACTGCTCATGGTAAACTACTACTCCGTGAGAAACTATACTATGGAATGCTTCAAATCTGTTCCAAATTTCCGCCTACGAACCGAACATTCTGCGGGTGCGTGCCACACGTAACCCGAACAAAAAATACGCGTTAGTCTGATGATTGCTTGCCTTCCACAAGACCCAAACAGACGTGGCCATGCTCTCAGGTGTGTTTCAAAGCATTCTTCCATGTAAGGCATAGCATTCGCAATTTAAATGCCATGAACCTGCCAGGTTGCAATGGTGATGTTCTGTCTCTGCTCAATTGGCACGAACCCATCGGTGGTAGCTGGCAAGCATGTCTGGCCTTTCAGCGGGTCAGGCGTTGCATGCTAGGCATAACAAAGTAGGCTGCAGTCGATGCTGCTGCTCCTCGCCAAGGTCCCCTGCCATTTCTAAAGAGCGACAACTATTCGTAAGTAATTTACAGCGACGCTGAAGCATCCAAAGTTGAACGTCTGCACCAACAAATGAGAAAGTGAAATGCCGAGAGGTCCAAAAAGCTCGCTGCCGGCCAGGCCAAAAGCCACAACCAGGGCAGACGAGCCATCTCACCTGCAATTAAACAAAGTTACACTCTGGTTTCTCGCCCACAAAGGTCTGCCGTTGAACTCTGCTCACTTGGGCTCAACAGCGTACAAAGCTTCTGACTATGCATGTAGAAAAAATCCAGGATGAATCGGGCATTATAGCAAACTGTCTGATGGGTCCTTGCGAAGCGGGGCTTTGCAGTGCACCGCCACTACGCTGCAGCAACGACAAGCAGCGGGATCCTCAAAGGTTGAAATGTCAACCGTAACCGTGTTGCTAGCCACATCCACTCCAATTGCCCGTGCACCTTGCTATCCTGCAACTTCAAACCAGCCTCATGGAAAGCGTTTTCAATGGCCCTTGTCGTCTGGACTTGTGAGCCAAACTTACAGAAGCAAAGCCAAGAAGGGAATTAAAGCAACAAAACATGCAGGCAGCGTGGTTTTCGAAAATCTGTGCATCGCAGCTACATCATTGTGTGGTTGCGAGTCTTCATGCACAGAGCTGGAAACCTAGATTGCGCAGAGACTCTGAAAGTGGCATAATCCCAGACAAACAGTATCTGATCCAAGGTTTCTGCGGCTCATCTGTGCAGATGTACGTCGTCGTTGCTGACGCGTTGACGTTTTGTTGCGAACGGACACTTGCATGAATGTTGTGCTATGTCACGGTCAACTCGATCAGCAGAAACTTGAGTGATCAGTTTTAAACTATGCTCTGCCAGCGGCGAGGACATGAGCTGCACACATTGGTCATGACCCCAGTGCGCATCAGCATATTTCATTTTCGAAGCATACCAAACAAAATACATATATATATATATATATGTGTGTAAGAGGAACCTTTTGTGTATGACATGATGATGTTCTTTGTTATTCATACTACTACTACTACTACTACGACTACTACTACTACGACGACTACTACTACTACTACTACTACTACGACGCACGCGTCGGATATCTGACGGTGGGGTTTTTGAGTACA